CCCACAGTGTGCCCTTTACAAGCTGACATGTAAGATAACTTCCCAATGCATCACAAAAACTTGCCCTTTCTGCAGGCTTCAAAGGCAAGTCCAAACCCAACCTTCTGAAGCAGGAGACGAGCAGCTTGGCTTGTGGGCTGCGTATCCTCTTCCGGATGTACACAGACGAGGGCCGGGCCAGCGCCTGGGAGGAGGTCCAGCACCGACTGTTGAAGTAAGCATCCCAGCTCAGAGTCCCCATCCCGCCCATTGCAGGGCCATGCCAATGGCTGTGTTCTCTTGTCTGTGAACTAGGGATAATTATGCCTCTGTTGCTCAGGGTGATTTTGAAAATTAAATGCAGTCTTATAGATCAGCATGCTTTATACAACTGGTGGAGTGAACAAATGGTATTCCATATTGCTTGTTCCAGGACAGAGGGAAAAGTTTTCTCAAAATTTCCACAACAACTTTATTATAGTTTGCTACTTTTCAGTGCCAGAAAAGATAGTCCTGTTTTTACAGAATGGTTATTTGTGAAAGGGAATTATCTAAATTTAATTTGAGAGGTATTTACAGCTTTTGTTGATAATGTTGTTTTACTCTTATTTTAGTTCCTAAGAACTTAGTATTTTGTTGTTTAAATTTTACTCTTGTTAAGAACAAGGCACGATATTCATAAAGATTATGTCATCTTTCTGCATCGTATTGTGTGTACTTGGAGAACATGTTCTCAGAAACCATTTAAATCCGTATTAGGATATTAAGAGACCACCTAGTCTGTTTTCTTATATATTATCAGTGACACTCCCAGAGGAGCCATACAATTAGAGGAAGAGCCACCCAAGACTTCAGCCTTGGATCCCTTGACACACCAAGCTGCTACATGGTGGCTTTGAAGTGAAGGAAACTTTAAAAATTATGAAAACATGTTTTTTCTAATAAGTCACAATGGCTTATGAAAACATGTTTTTTTCTAATAAGTCACAATGGCTTATTTTAATCTCTTTGGTTTTCTTTTTAACTGAAAGACATAAAAGTGTTTCTGTTGACACTCCAGTTAAGCAAATGGTTAAGCAGCGGTGCTCTCTAGCAATATTCACGACCCTCCTTTTCTCAGTGAGCACATAATCCTGCAGGTATGCAAGCAAGTTATTTTACTAAGAAATCTTTTGTTTTGCAGTGTCTGCAGTGAAGCACTGAGCTACTTCTTGACTCTAACATCAGAGAGTCATCGGGAAGCCTGGACTAGCTTGCTGCTTTTGTTCCTAACTAAAGTTCTAAAGATAAGTGATAATAGGGTAAGTATGAGACACCCACTCTGCCCCATCACTCAGTGTGTTCAGCCTGGCATTTCCCTCGTTGACCAGCACTGTGAACGTGAATTGGAGCTAGGAATGCACCGGAGCTGTCAGGGGCAGGTGACCCAAATCCAGGCTGTGCTGCTGCTTTGTGATTTGCAGCTAAATACCACACCACCAGGATTCCATTTAAATTAAAAACATGTAACTATTAATATAAATGCATAGTTATTTTTAAGATTTTCAAAAATACACATTTTACTCTTTTAAAATGTGACAACTTATATGTTGCTGCTAAGTGCTGTGAAGTCAGTTCCAACCCATAGCAACCCTGTATAGGGTTTCCGAGGAGCAGCTGGTGAGCTTGAACCACCACCTCTGTGGATAATATTTGTAGTTTGTATAATGTAGTTTGTATAAAGTCAGTCTTTTGCATACTTCCCGGTCTTCATTTCTAATCAAAATAATCAATGTTTGATGCAAACACCTGTCTTTTTACTGGTCAGTGCAGTTTCCCCAAAATGTTTTCTGTCCTGTTGTTTTGGTACGTAAGCATTACTAAAAGAAGAAACTGTGTTTCCTCCCTAGTTTAAAGCTCACGCATCATTCTACTACCCTCTCTTGTGTGAAATTATGCAATTTGACTTGATTCCTGAACTTCGTGCTGTTCTCAGAAGATTTTTTATGCGAATTGGAGTAGTTTTCCAGATATCACAACCACCTGAACAAGAACTTGGGATAAACAAGCAATGATGGAAATTGTTGGAGTTTTTCTTGGAGTTCGTATCCCTCCACTCTTGAAAAGGACCCTGGAGCTGAGACTTCCTACCTGAAAATGGTTTCTCGGACTTGCAGTATCTTAAGGGGTTTTGGTAAAATTACTAAAGAATTATAGCTTGCACCTACAACACTCCAGTCCCTGGTAGTGACTGGTGGGTTCACTCTGTCTTGGTGGGCTCATGTTGAGCAGGCAGCCTACTTCGATATGTCCCCTGCCCTCGGTGGCAGGATACTCCACGTATTTATGGCAGGTGTGGAAACAAAACTTACCCAAAGAACTATAGATGCAAAGATTTGAACTTCTGCAAGAAGTACAACTCAGGAGAGCTGTATTTTGAAGGATAAAATGTTTATAATTGGGGGGTGGGGATGGTGAAGAAATTATTGTTCATGGTAAAAGATATTTAGCAACTATGGTATTCTTATTCTGAAGATTTTTGCACACTCAGGCTATCTGAGATATTGGTAATCATCCTTCTGTGAAAAAAATGTACAGAGATGCAGGTCTGTAATATAAAAGTCTCAAACATATAGTTCTTCCTGCACTGTTTTATTTTATTTCTTTATTTTCTTATTCCTTTGCTAAATACCCATAATATTTTGTCAAATGCACTAAACATTTGGGTTGAACATTTTTATTTCATGGGGGTTTTTTGGGCTTGCCCTTTGTGGGTGGGGTGGGGTGGGGTGGGGTAATCTTCCTGAATGCTTAACAAGCCCAGAAATTGTTGTGGCTGACACTTGTCAAAATCAGTAACAGAAGGAAACAAAGGTAGAAAATACCACTCCTGACCTAACTTCCTGTAATATGCTTCTTGTAGGGCTTTCAAAGATGAGCCATTAAAATACAATGATCTTTCATGGACTGAAACTTGAATCACTGCAAATGAATCTAGGTTGCTGTAACTTTTTTTCTTTTATTTTTTGGGGGTGGAGCTTGATGTAGATTTTACTCTATGTACAGAATTTAATGTTGAATATATTAAAATTAACTCTGGCATGGATTGGGGGTGGTTAGACTTACTGGAAATGTATTCATACTGTGAACTGTGCTCTGATGGTTTAAAAAAAGACAAGATTGTCAAGCATTCCGTATTAACAGTGGATGTAGAAATTTTTTCAGATGGATAAAATGTATATGGTACAGATGTAAAGTTTTCTATGTAAAAAAAAGTCTGTACAACTTTCTGTACAGTATTGATTCTCATCTGGCATATTCTAATCAGGTTATAGGTCAATAAAGTTTTTGAATTATTTCATCAGTGCAATCAAAACCTGTGTCATCCACAGCCCATGTTTCCTGAACTATTTTCTTTTTGATTTTTTTAAAGCCAAACATGGAAAAGTTACTCTCAGCCATAACTACAAATTCAGTATTATTTGGTTCCAGTATTATTTTTCCAACATCTGACATTTATGTCCCTTGACCCCACCCTCCCACCTTCTTTCAGAATCTTAAGATACTAATTTTGTATATTCTTCATTAACAGACTGCTGAGAGAGAATTCTTGTTCCTGCTGGAGCAGTTAGCAGTATGATACTGTGTGTCCTAGGAATGCAGGTAAAATTGTGTGGTGTACAACACTGTTTAAAAGGAAAGTAGAACATGCCAACATAAATTTATATTCAGGGGATTATGTAAAAAAACAGAATTGTTCAGTCTTTGCCCCACGCTTCTTTTAACTTAAATGAGCAGTTACTGAGCAATGCATTTGTTAAGAACAGAAGGACCACATCATAGAACACGTCTTACCCCCCTAAACTGCAGCCTTGTGAATGAGCTGGAAGTTGCCTTGGGTGTCCTCTGTTGGCCCCCGTGAGGTGTCAGTGCCTCTGATGGCTTGGTGGCACATTATCTGATGGTACAGTATGAAGATTACGTAAAGAAAACCGGTTTCATCATACTTTAAGATGATGTAAGAAGAAAAACCTTTAATAGTAAAGTAAGCCCATAGTTAGACTTGAGTATAAGTTCACACGAGAAAAATACCAAGTGTCAAATTGTATACTTGTTACTACAGACTCAAGCAGCCTTCTCTGCCATGCATTACATCCGTGGGAAAGGTAAGTAGACAGTTGTGTTAAAACGGCTGTCATGCTGAAGACTGCACTCCCAGTAAAATGTATTGTATGGAACTGGGATCAATCTTTCCTTTTTTAAAGGTACCACTTGCTGAGACATTATCACGGTTAGGTCCTGATCCAAACAGCCATGATTTGACCTGTGGGTGTGTCTCTCCTTCAGCTTCTGTAACATCTAGTCTAGAAATCTCAATTCCAGTTAAAATGAGAAATCATCATTGGCTTAAATGAAAAGAAAAGTTTATTTCTATTAAATAGCTGAATCATATAAATTAGTAACATAAAACACCTTCATTGTCATAAAAATAAAACAGAGACAGAGAGATGTAGCGTTTTGTGCATGTCTTACAGGGATAAAATCCATTATGGCTGCCGTCATTTATACTGTGAATGACATGAACATAACTAGCACATGTGATTCCCTAATTACAAAGCAACTAGAATAATCACTATGACAACAGATGTTTACTAAATGAATTTCTTATGAATCGAGTTAACAAATGTGCACATAAGAGTACCATGGTTTTACAGTACTGTTAAGACACATTTGTCTTGAGGACAAGCAGAATTTAAAATAATGCACATACGGTAGTTGATTCCAAGGTTCATTACCACCTTAATGTATGGCAATATTATGTAAAAATAATTCTATACAGTTCTACATTATTTAAATCAATAATTGTGGCCTTTTATTAATGTACATAATATACATTGTGGAACTAACACATCTTACATACAGATGGAACATAAGAAGTAATTGGAAACTTCCAGGTAGGGGCCAAAGAGGACATATTGGAGATTCAGATTTCACATTCTTTTCACCTTAAAAGGCACTGTGGAGTCCAGTACAAGTTTATTTTAACCATGTGCAGTAGACAGGCCCTGCCAAGGAAAAGTGCCTTGTTTTCCAGTAACCTGCTGCTGCTCTTGACTCAGCTGCTCCACCATGAATCGTTTCAGTGTTTCTGAGGTGCCAGGGCGGAGCCAAGGCTCTGTTGCTATAGAGTTTGTTCCATCATCACCCACTTGCTTCATGATATCATCGGGGTCGACCAGTGAGCTCTCATCATCTACAGGACATGTACACACACACAAAGATAAACCATAACTCGGGTAGCATAAAGTGCAGCCAAGTGACTTGAAGGTAAGGCTTCTGTTGTGAGTCCCATTACAGCCCTGCATTCCCCACAGTATTGTGTTCCTAACTGTCCAACTCTCCATTTTAGAGGTGGGGAAAAAAGGCTCTGGAAGAGGCCAATTTTGTGGAAACAATGATCACCTGACTACCAGCACCCACAGGGCTAGGGCCAGAATTCTAAGTCCATAAAAGGACACTCTTTGCCAAAAACCGAGTTGCCTGTAGACATACATGCTATATTAGCTTCCAGAGGAACTTGATACCACAAAAAAAACTTTTTAAAAATTGGCAAGGTTTGGGCGATAATCACAAACTGTAATACTTGCAAGTAAATTATAAGTCATTCTGTAGAAGCAACAGTCGGGATGAAATTGCTTTTGTTCTCTTCTAACCTAAGAAGATTGTATCTTGTCGACTTTCCGTTCTTAGAAGTAGCACTTGATTTGATTTATTACATTCCTCAACTGACTTGTGTACAAACTTAACTTCTGTATCTTGTATTTGACTTAGCATTAGATATAATAGGAAAATCTGTCTTCCTACCCTGTGATGTCAATTTCTTTTTTAAAAAAATACATCTCTTGGTCTGTGAAGGATTAGCCCAGCAAAGGGGCAGTCAATTTAATGAGCAATCAATCCACATGGTACCAAAAAGCTCCTGTTTGAAAGGACAATGTTAAAACAACAGTTTAGAAATTGAAAATCTTCTGAAAAAGTAGATTTTTAAAATGTTTTCTCTCAATTTAAACATCTATCTGTTAATACAGAGGATTAAGGCCTTTAAGGGAGAATGAAAAAGTTACTTCGCCCGTTCTACTTTTTTCCGTGAATGATACGCAAAGTACTGTGTTCACGTTATCATATCTGCTAGTACACTTTGCCTGCTAGAAATGAAATGAGCAGAATTTTACAACAGTCTAGGTAGTAGGTTTTTAGGGAAACTGCTATTAGAAAACTATAGTAATGGAACTTAACTAGAGTATTGTACAATCATTCTATTTACCATGTACCAATTATGACATGTAGCTCAATGGCATTACTTCATAAAGTTTCCAGTTATTGCACTAACAGTACTATACTAAAAACGGAGTGTGGACTAGCAGAGGAGCTCAGTAACTGCCTGAGAGACTCCAGACCAAGCTCCATGAATAGTCCAGGTAGCGTTCTGCTTTTAGCATGCTGGACCTCAAAGCAACAAGTCAAAGCCACCTACATAGAATGAGAAGACTAGCTCTGGTTTTGCTTAGTCTGTGGTCCAGATAGCCAAGAAAAACTTAACAGTAACTAGTATTACAGATTTTAACAGTAACTAGTATTACAGATTTTATAATAAGGAACTCAACGTATTAACAATACTTTGTGAACAATCTCTCACTTGCATAATTACTCTACTATACTAATCGGCACTTGCCCTAGTGAAAGCCAGGCCTGGATATATTTAACAAGCAATGTTTCTGTCTGTTTAGACCACCAAAAGTGGGTGCCTTCTCTGAAAATCAAATCCAATGCTTGTCTTTGCTGGGTGGGTGACTACTGTGTTCTACCACACAACTCAGATGTCATTAGACTCATTCCATCTACTCCCCAAGTCTTCAGTGAAAACTTCCCAGTATAGTAGGTTTGAGTGCTTACACAATATGCTGTAGGCCAGTAAGCTTGGTCATTTACCTGTATTAATAGGTTTACTCTGAAGTTCATTTAATCTTCGCATTCGTTCCTCATTTCTCATTCTAAGCTCATCAACATTTACACTGGATACTGATTGTAAAGAGAGACCATCTGGCGGTACATTAGGATGATCCTGTAGTTAGAAAAGAGGACTTAAGAAACAGCAATTAACATAAAATCTGTTCCGAATGAATCACTGAACCCATGCATGCTCTTGATAAATAAGAAAATAAGTCAAAAAGTATAGCTACAAAACCATACAACCCCTTAACAAAAATCAAAATGTTTAGCTAGTATTTGACATATCCTCCAGCTAAATCTACTGACTCCTGAAGGCCACAGGGTGAACACTGGCATAGGATAAGGCTTTCTGCTCCTTTAATGATCTAAAGCCTCAGAGACCCTATCCAGGGTGACTATGCATTGGAACTGACTTGAGGCAACTAAAACCTTTCCCCCAAAGAAATTTGCACTCTTCAATTACACCACATGAAAATGTCAAGTTTGGGGAACAAAAAGGAAAAAAAAAGGGCAACATCAGGTTAGCAGGGTGGATGGAAGATTTCCCAAGAAAATTCTTGTAGGACAGCCCTTGTGATCCTCATAGAAACCACCAATGCAGTTTTTCTTAATAAACCCCTGGGATAGTCCTGTGTCCTTTAAGAAAATCTATCAAGAGTACTCCTTTGGAATCCCCAAAAAAACAGTTTCCATAACCTTCTGCTTTTAACTGGCCCAGCAGATGCCCTTGGAAGCCAGTGTTTGGATTGGACTTAACCTCATACACAGTGTGATGAATAAAAATAAGTAGCACTTATATTCTGACCCAATGTTTGTTTATCCATGCAACCTTTAGTAAAAAAGACAAGGTACTAACTTTTGGTATAGAAGTACTACCATTTGGAGAAGTTTGGCAAAAGGAAGAACAAACAATGGGCTAAAGATCAATCCAACTATAGTAATTATGACCTGTAGCTCAACAGAATAAAACAGAGTCCAGATAAAACCCTTCATGTCAGTGGATAGAATTCTGAGCCAACAGAAGTCAGTGGAGAAGGAATTAAAACTTCAACATACGGTGCTAGAACAACTGGATGTCTGCATGCAAAAAATGAATTTGGATCCCTACCCCATGCCAAACACAAGCACTAACTCACTGAGTCATAGACCTAAACTTAGGAACTACAGCTATAAAACTCTTTAAAAAAAACACAGGAATAAAACTTCATGATCTTGGCAATGATGTCTGTTCTAGGACCCCAAAAACAAATGAGAAGTGAGAAGACTGACAGTTTGAACCTGACAAAGTAAAGAATGTGCCTTAAAGGACAACTTCAAAAAAAGTAAAATGGCAGCCCACAGAATGGAAGAAAACACTTGCAAATTATAAATGTGACAAGGGATTTGTATCCAGAATATACAAAGAACTCTTACAGATAAAACAATAGAAAAGACAAATTAACCCATTTAAATATGAGTCAAAAGAATTTAAATATACACTTCTCTAAAGAAAACAGATGAAAAGTTAGTAAGCACATGAAAAGATGTTCACTATCATTAATAACTGTTGTCCTCAAGTGCTGTCGAGTCGTTTCCAACTCATAACAACACTGTAGAGTTTCCAAGGAGCAGCTGAGTTTGAACTGCCGACCTTGTGGTTCAAACTGACCTTTCAGTCTAGTGGTTTAATTCCACAGCACCCCACCCGGACTCCTTAGGAAAATGTAAATCAAAACCACAATGAGATAGCATTTCTCACCCACTAGAATGGCTGTAATCAAGAAGACAAGTGCTGAAAATGTACAGCAATCAGACCCCTCATATGTGTTACTGGTGGGAATGTAAAATGATGTAACCTCTTTGGAAAACAGTCTGGCAATTTCTCAAAATGTTAAATAAAAATTACCATATGATCCAACAGTTTCGTTTTTTTGTGTATATGTATGAGAAATTAAAACATCAGAAACCTCATACATCAATCATAACACCATTATTTATAATAAGCCCAAAAGTGAAAAAAAATCCCAATATCTATCAACTGATGGACAAATGAATACACAAATGGAATATTATTCAGCAATAAAAAGAGATGATTATTTTTAAAACACAGATGAGCCTTAAAAACATGAAGTGAAAAGCCAGTCACAAAAATGATCATATTGTGTGATCTCATTTATATGAAATACCCAGAAAAGGCAAATGTGGAGAGGCAGCAAGTGGATTGGTGAGTGCCTAGAACTTCACTATATGGTGGAGGAGGTGGAAGGGAAGGGAAAGCAAGTGCAGAGGTACTGCTAATAGGCACAGTACTATAAACTACTGACTCATAACACTTAAAACAGCTCATGAGCTTTATGGCATATGTTTGAATAAAGCTGTTAAAAACTTACCTCTTTATCACAAATGTCCTAATGGGGCTGTGGGAGAAGTTAAATAAGTATGTGTAGTTTCTCTTTTCAGACAGATTCCAACATGGTTTAGGGATGAAAAGTACCACAAGAAAGCAATGATGGGCTGAGTATGTTTACATCTACTTATTTATAAGATCAGAAAAGGTTGAAAAAAAAAAAAAAAAAAAAAAGTGGGGCCTGCAAGGAGGAACTCATCTGTTCCTTAATGGATAGGCAGGGAAAGAGAATAATAGAAGAAAACCAAGGATATGAAGAAAACTTTGAGGAAGCTATGACATTTTAAAAATGAGATTTCTATGTAGGACAGATCTATGGAAGCTAGTTGAACACTGGTATCAACTTAGCCATGTAGAGATTGTTTTAAGTATTTAAGGATGAATGTTCTTAACTGGTTAATGCATAGGAAAAATGTGGCATATATACCCAATCTAAAGCACAAGTACTAATTCATGGTACAACAGAGATGAACCTCAAATACATTATGCTAACATAAAACTTACAAACTTTTTCATTGTGTTTCCTTAGAGGCAACCTAGAGCACCTATTTTCTAAAACATATGAAAGATAAGGATGGAGTGGGGAAGAAGAGCCAGAGATCAGAGAGGAGATAAAATCAGGGAGATGAGGGATATATGGATACCGAAGCTGGACTCCTGGTGTGGCACTGTGGGCTAATGCCTCAGACTGCAAAGTCAGTGGTTCAAGCTCAGCAGCTGCTCCTTGGAAACCCTATACAGGGTCGCTATGGGTCGGAATTGACTTGACGGCACTTAACAGCAACAAGCTGGAGGCTAACTTTGTCTTCTAACTGTCTCTACACAGTTAGATGCCTCCCTCCTCTAGATACCTCACTTCTGTGCAGCGTCAGGTTTCTCTACTGTAAAGTCACTGCACTCTTTTCCTTGTCACACTGTACACTGTGGCAGGAAGTCACTGGAGCTGACACTTGAGGGAAGTCATGCTCCACCTCAAGAGCAGAGAACCCCCATAAGTTAGTTGGAATTGGTCTAGCATGAGATTTGTCTATAAATATCTGTCTATTTACTTACTTATTCGTGTACTTACATAAGTATGGACTAATGGCTATTTATTTTACTCTTTGATGTGTACTGCAGTATTACTATAGTTTGTTGTTCAAGCATTGGCCATTGAGAGCTCTTTCAGCTGGCCAGTGAATTTTTTAATGATACTATATATGTTCAAATTTACTTGAAGCTCCAAATCTGAAGTATGACTCATTTTAAGAACTATAGGCGTGAGATGTTAGATACACGCAACATCAGAAGTAAGTCTATGGGCCTTTGGACAACAACACTAGTCCTGCAGAGCCCTGGAGAGCCATTACAAACACATGGCCTATCATCATCCTTGCCTTCTACTACCCTTCACACGTCTCCTTGTATGGCATAAAGAAGTTAGTTAAAGTCAATTCACTGAGTCAATCGTTACTGGCCTTTTACTGTTTCAGAGTTTGAAGACTAAGCTAAGACTAAGGGTGGATGGCACCCTTTACTAAGCTAGTTTATCCAAGTTTCCTGCTAATTTTACCAGTCATGCGAATGAGGAGCCCTGGTGGTGCTGTACGTTAACTGCAAGGTCAGCAGTTCAAACTCACCAGCCACTTCATGGGAGAAAGATGAGGCTGTCTGCTCCCGTGAAGCCTCAGGAAACCAAGGTTCTACTCTATCCGTAGGATTGCTAAGAGTCAGAATCAACCTGATGGTGGTGAGTCTATAATGCTAATAACAGCACTTGTTAGTTGTTGAGCGCTCCTTGCGTCCTGTGTGCTTGGCTCAGTGCTAAATGCTTACATATACTTTGTTTATCCATCTCATATATATAAGGAAACACACAAAGTTTAAGTTCACTCACTACCCAATGAAAAAGTAACATCACTGTGACCTGTATTAAGTACTCTGAAGCCTTCACTCTTATAAAGTGGTGGAGCACACTGAATCTCACTGACCTTGGGAAAGTTGTTTGACCAAAATAGAAATAATACCAATATAAAAGTACAGGGTTAGCATGGAGATAATGCAGGCCCTCCAGCAAATGGTATCAGTTGCTTTCTCCTCCTTTTCTGGAATATCTATAATTCTTTGAATGGGGAGCAGGATGATGGGAGTATGGAGTTAGTATTTTTAGGTCAGAGGTTCTGAGTACTGAGCTGTATACTTATAGCCACCCCAGGACACAAATTCAAAGATGAGCCCAAAGTCAGTCAGCTATCTGGGGATATGCCTAAATTCACACCCATGTCCACCTTATTTCAAAGTCACTGCTCTTTTTTTTATTGGACCATACCAGTGGGTTGGAACCCACACTTCATTCTCATAAATTGATAAAGAGGGAAAAGGAAAAGGTACTTCATACATACTAAGTTCGGTCCTTTTAACTTGTTCCTTCTGCGCTCCCTTGCAGAGGGCAACTGAGACGGCAGAGGTAGACCATCATCATCTTCAATGGCAGGATACGTCTCTCCATAAGCACCTGGAAGGATCAAACAACGGAGAAGTCTTCAACATTCACCATTTAAAATTTTTTACCAAGAGCTTATTTAACAATTTTACTCACACTTTGTTTACATGCCACAAAATTCACCCATCGTTGTGTGCAGCCCAGCAGATTTAGAGTTGTGAAGTCATCCTCATTACAATCTATCTCAAAAAGTTCCCTTGTGCCCACGTGCAACCACTCTCCACTGCTATGCTCCAAGCCCCAGGAAAACAATGATCTACTTCTGTCACAGTAGCTCAAACTATAAAATCATAAAATGCAATCTTTTATGTCTTTCACTTAGCATCCTGTGTTTGAGGTTCATCTACGTTGTACCAAGAATCACTAGTTCTGTTTTATATTGTGTAGAGGTCACATTTTGACTATGCATTAACCAGTTGATGGACATTTGGATGATTTCTAGTTGTTGGGGATAATGAATAATGCTACCATAAACATTCACATCCATATGAGGGAGCTTCAAAAAGTTCATGGAAAATGAAGTGAAAAGATAATCAAACTTTTCCACAAATTTTTTAAAACTGTACATATAGCATTTTAAGAACTTCCAAACTCTTTTCAAATGTGGTTATATACCAGTTTACGTTGTATGAAAATTTGTTTTTCCAGATCCTCATCAACACAATACTGTCAGTCTTTTTTTGTTATAGCCATTCTTGTGGGCAATGAGCATATTTGACCATGGAGAATTTTTAGAAATTTTTCCCCATTTAAAAACAATTTTTTTGGGTGGTGGGGAGTAAATTTTAAATCTCCAGAAAAATTGTAATAACAAAATAGTGAACTTCTCTAATCATCGTTATTTTACCAGGAACCATATAACTCCTCATGCATCGTGTGCTATACAGATGCACGTGTGTTTTATTTATGTTGTAGATGCAAAAAATTTATACAGCAAAGGGTTAGTTCAAAAAGTTCATGGGAAACTTCCATTATATCTTTAAGTCCATTTTTCCACAAATTTCTTACAGCCCTCTTGCATGTTTGTTTTTTTTGTTTGTTTGTTATTTGTTTTGGCTCTGCCACTTTACAGTTAGTTGGTGGCATCAAGGGGAAATTAAAATTGAATATGTTGTAAGTTGTGAGTTTTTCATAAATAGCCTTTATTAGGTTGAACAAGGTCAAGGTCCATTTATTCCTAAATTGAATACATTTATCATAAAAAAGGTATTGAAGATTGTCAAATACCTTCTCTGTGTCAAGAAAAATGATCATGTAAGTTGTTTTCCTTTGTTCTATTAACGTGGTAAAGTAGTGGTTATGAGTCGGGCTGCTAATCTCACGGTCAGCAGTTCCAAACTACCAGTGGTTCCATGGGAAAAAGATGAGGCTTTCTGCTCCTGTAAAGATTTGACAGCCTTGGAAACCCTGTATAGGGTCGCTGTGAGTTGAAACCAACTCTACAGTACATAACCATAACACTGAGTGATTTTCTTATGTTCAACCATTCTTGCATTCCTGGGATAAATACTAGTTGACTGTATTTTGTTGTTGTTCAGTGCCGTCGAGTTGGTTCTGACCCATAGCGACCTGTATAGGGTTTCCAAAGAGTAGCTGGTGAGCCTGAACCACTGAACTTGTGGTTCAAAGTGACTTTGTAGTCCAGCACATTAGCCCACAACACCACACCAGTACTCTAATATACAATCCTTTTCATATGCTTTTGGATTAGATTTGCTAGTATTTTGTATTGGATTAGATTTGCTAGTATTTTGTAGATTTTTACATCTATATTCCAAAGAGATTAATCTAGATCTGCATACAATAGTTTTCCCCTCTTTTGACTTCCCAACTATTTGTGTTCTTAGGAATAAGATGTGTATCCTGTAGACGGTATATAGTTGGATCATTCTGTATTATCTATTCTCCCTTTTAACTGAGCATTCAGTCCACTCACATTCACAGTCATAACTGATTTGGACTTAATTCTGCCACTTTGTTATTGGGTTTGTCTTAATACCTTGCCACTCATTTCCTCTAATATTAATTACCTTTGTGTTTACTTGATTTTTTTTTTTGTCAAGAACTTTTGAATTTTCTTTTGTGTATATTTAGATCTGTGTATATGTATATATGTGACTACCATGAGGATTATATTTAACCTGATGCATTTATAAAAACCTGCATTAAACTGATACTAACTTAATATACAAAAACTCTATTCCTGTATCATGCCCCCAACCCTGTTTCTGTTGCTGATTTAAAGCTTTGATTTACTGTCTAGTGTCAACTCATTCCCATCTGAAGGTCCCTTTATCATTTATTTTAGGGCAGGTCTGGTGGTTACAAACTCACTCAGTTTTGCTTATATGGAAATGTTTTAATTTCACCCTCATGCTTGAAGGACAATTTTGACAAATTTAGTAGTATTCTTGATTTGCAATTATTTTCTTTTAACACTTTAAATAAGCCACTCTAACACTTTCTAGTCTCCGGTTTCTGAGGATACATCAGCACTCACATCTTATTAGGGGTCCTTGGTATAAAATTATTTACACTTCTCTCTTGCCGCTTTCGGGCTTCTCTTTCTGTTTAATTTACAAGAGTCTGATTATAATGTGTCTCAGTATAGCTGTCTCTGGGTTTATCCGACTTGGATTTCATTGCGTTTCCAAGATTTGCAGATGTGTGTCCTTCATCAGATTTGTAATGTTTCTGCCATTATTTCTTCGAATATTCTTTTCTTTTTTTTTGAAGAGGTGTGGACACACTAACATTATTCTACACGCAATGGGGAATCTATGTAGGTTTTGTTAAATATTTTTTTCTCTTTTTAAACTTTTAAAATATGTGTGTTATAGAAAACTGAAAAGCAAAAATCAAAGAATACACAAAGCATCCCAAATCATCGTGATGATCTGATGACAAGTTTGACGCCCTACATGTGTACGCACACAACTGAGCATGCAGTTTCAGGTGGTTGAGGTCACACATCATGAATAGTTACCAATTCAAAGTTCCAAAGGCAGGAGTATTTTGGCAACCAAGAATACGCAACACTGACTCACATCAGGAAGGGGAAAAGGAAAAAATTCTGGCTTGCTTTGAGGAGCAAATTGTCATATAAGATAAAAATAGTAATTGGCTTCTAGATCAAGAAATTGACAAGAATTACCATTAAAATACAACATTCCCTTAAAGCTCAATTTAAAATGACACATAAAACCAGAGTACAGTAAGGATCATGCTTCTAAAAGAACTCATTACCAGATCCATCATTACTAAAATATTACCAAGGTGTTTCCATTGTATTTAATAATGTATCCCTACACTACAGCCAAGAGATGCAAGCATACACCAGTGGTTACCATCAAAATGTAAACACGGACGCATCTGCATACAGCCCTCCCCTTGCACTTCCTTCTGCCCCTCTTCTGCCAACCTAACCTGTCTTCATGTATACAAGTCCTATCTCTTTATCACTAGCTTCCTTCTAGAATTCTCATGATGTGTATATCCAAATTCATATGGTAGAGTCCTACATTTCCATCAGGCTGAACAGTCTTGATTTTTCCATCTTTGGCTTCTCAGTCACATTAATTTCAGCTGGTGTGGCAATGTGGGATAAAGCACTGGATCACAAGGTTGGTTTGCACCGCAAAGTCGGCAGTTCAAACTCTCCAGCTGCTCCTTGGAAATCCTATACAGGGTTTGCTATGAGTTTGAACCAACTCGATGGCACTTAACAAAAACAAATACTTTAGAAAGCTAATTCTTTGTTCTAGCAGCTCACATCTGTGAAATTCTTCCAATATAGGTTGTCTCCAATGTATGATGGGGTCCTGTTCCAAGTCCTCATTTTTGTTTTTCCTATAGTTTTCATTTCAAAACACAGCAGTGTTTTGAACAGTAAGTCATAAAATGGAGCATCTGTGAATGAACAACTGAGAATGCTATCATATCAGCAAAGGACACACTGCAGCACTATGTACTAAAGATAAGACATACCCAACAAACATGGCGGGCTGTTAAAGTGGAGTTCATCATGACTTCTGTATCTTGTAAGTCAAGGACTACCTGTAATTTTTCATTTCAGTTATTGTCAAGACGTTGAGTTTTGCACTAAAGTAAGGCTAAATAAGAACTGTGTGCACCTAGTGTGATTGGCCTACAGATTTTTAAAAACACAGGAATGAGTCTCGTTTGTATCTTGGGTACAGACTGTGCACAATAAGCTCAAAGAATGAAAAGAAAACACAGACAGCTAAAGGAAATCAGGAAAATGTTGCATGAACGAAACCATGTAGATAAGGAAACAGACACAATATTTAAGTAAAAAAGTAAACAATTAGTGGAGTTAAAAGACAATAACAAATTAAAATTACAGGTAGTCCTTGACTTACGACATAACAGAAGTTATGATGAACTCCACTTTAACAGCCAGCCATGTTTGGAGTAGCAGGTGAGCTTGAACCACCGACCTTGCAGTTCAAACAACTCTTCTGTCTGACACATTAGCCCACAATGCCACACCAGGGCTCCCAGCCATGACGTTGTTGTTGCTGAGTGCCATGGAGTCGGTTCCAACTCACAGCGACCCTGTACAGGGTTTCCGAGGCTGTAAATCTTTATGGAAGCAGAAAGCCTCATCTTATTCCCGGGGAACAGCTGGTAGTTTCGAACAGCTGACCGTGAGATTAGCAGTATAAGCCATCACATTAGGGGTGAGTTAACTAAATGTTTGGCCAAATATAGAAGGCTCATTTTTAAGTTGATCATTTCATATGGCCCACGATATTATAAATTTTGACAGAAAGGAAGTTCCCCACTCCTACTCTAACAAAGTCATTATGAGTCAGAAATGACTTGACAGCACTTAACAACAATAATATTGTAATTCAATGTACAAAGATTTTACAAAACAATTTTGTTGCTGGTATACATATAATCCAAGAAATATTATACTTAAGGAATTTATCATTATACATCACTTATTATGGTATGATTAAAACTAACAGTAGCCATGACTGAGATTTCGATATGTTCTGGTCTGGGAAGGGGTCCATGGGGGAGGTCACCCCTCAAGTGACCTCAGTGGGTATCACCAGCCTGCCCAGGTTAGCCTGCTAGAAGGAGCACATCCTATTCCCCTGATGAAGAGGGAAAAGCTGTCTTCACAGCTATCTCTACCTTTCCTCATCCTCCCCAGTATGACAACTTCCTTATCCCTAGGATAGGAAAAACTCAACTGAAAAAAACAACTAATGTAGACATATAGGGTAGTTGGAAACTTGTTATCACATGAAAGTCTAAAGTAACTGATATGAAATGCAATTAGTATGAAGAAGATATACTTCCCTAATACCTGTAGGGAATGGGGATGGAGTCCCAGATTGGCGCTGTAGGATAAGCACTGGACAGCTAACCACAAGGTTGGCAGTTCAAATCCACCAGCCGCTCCTTGGAAACCCTATACAGAGTCACTATGAGTGGAAACTGACTCAAAGGCACTCAGCAACAACAATAAACAATACCTTTAGAATAGGAGAAAAGCTCATGAGCTCTGAGAGGAAACAAAGATCTCATAGTACCTTCATATCACTTCATAAGATTTGATTCCTAAAACTTTTTTTTTAATTTAAATTTTTACTGAAATCATTATAGATTCGCACGCAGTTGTAACAATTGAGATCTCTTGTATACACTGAGTTTCTCCCAAGTTAATGTTTTGAAGAGCACACTATCACAACCAGGATGTGAATGCTGATACAGTTTACCAAGCGTCCTCAGATTTTCCAAGTTTACTTACACTCACGGTGTGTGTATTCAGTGCCATACAGCTCCATCACCTGTACCTATTCTTCCATCCACCATCACAGAATACAACAGTTCCAAAACCACAGGGTCTCTTCATGTTGTCTTTTTATAACCACATCCACCTATGTTGTTGTTGTTTGGTGGTGGTGGTGGTGGTGGTGGTGGCTGTTGTGGATGTTGGTTGTTTTGGTTGTGCACCATGGAGTCGGTACCGACCCATAGTGACCTTATGCACAACAGAATGAAACACTTGCCCGATCCTGGGCCAACTTCACTACTGCTGCCACTTGGCCAATCTATCTCGTTGGGGGTCTTCCTCTTTTTCTCTGACCCTCCACCTTACCAAACATGATATCCTTCTCCAGTGTCTGGTCCCTCCTGACAATATGACCAAAGCATGAGAGATGAAGTTTGACCATCTTGGCCTCTAAGGAATACTCTGGCTGCACTTCTTCCAAAACGGATCTATTGGCTCTTTTGGCATCCCATGGACGTTTCAATATTCTCCTCCGGCACCATAACTCAAAGGCATCAATTCTTCTCTGGTCCTCCTTATTTACTGTCCAGCTTTCGCATGCATATTAGGTTACTAAAAATACCATGACTCGTGTCAGGCGCATCTTAGCCTTCAAGCTGACGTTTTCTTCAGCTTCAGTTTGAATTTGCATATGAGTAATTGATGGTCTGTTCCACAGTCTGCCCCTGGATTTGTTTTCACTGATGATATGGAACTTTCCTATCACCTCTTTCCACAGATGTAGTCAATTTGATTTCTATGTATTCCATCTGGTGAGGTCCATGTGTATAGTCTTTTTTTTTTTTCCCCTTAAATGTTTTATTGTATATTATGTGATAGTTTACATGGGAGAACATTAGTTTTACATTCATTCTATCATATATCGTCTCATTGCCATGGTTACTATCCCCTCCGTGCAATCCTTCCCCCGTACCACCCAGGTCTTCAGCACACAGTCACTCTCCCTCTCTGGATCTAAAGTCTCCAGCTGCTCCATCGCTCCATGTCATCATCTCTGGCTCCATTTCAGGCATCACTGCTTCTCTGGGTAGGGTCCCGCTCTCCGCTCTTCTCCCTTGATGGTCCTAGGGACCTCCACTCATAAACTGAAAAGTTAATCACTCCCCTCCTTGCTATAAAATGTCTACCTTTACATTTCTGACCCTCACAATCAGTCCTGATAACAATTATTCCCTAGTGTATCACAAGAGACCCGTCTGCATTTCATTGCATCAGCCCCGCCTATCAGACTGAATACTACTCACTGGAGATTCTCCCTTCCTCTAGGCCCTGTGGATCTAGGTTCCCTCTTGAAAGCTTGTAAGCCAGTCACTTCTTGCCTTTGTAG